ACCTACAGGACAACTATCACGTATTTTAAATACCTACAGGACAACAACATGAAGGAGAGATGTATTTTAAATATCTGCAGGACAACAGCATGAGGGACAAATGTATTTTAAATATCTACAGGACAGCATGAGGGACAAAGGCATTTTAAATATCTACAGGACAACACCATGAGGGAGAGATGTATTTTAAATATCTACAGGACATGAAGGAGAAATGTATTTTAAATACCTACAGGACGACAGCATGAGGGAGGGATGTATTTTCAAAATCTACAGGACAAGGGAGAGATGTATTTGAAATACTTATAGGACAACATGAAGGAGAGATGTATTTTAAACATCTACAGGCCAACAGCATGAAGGAGAAATGTATTTTAAATACCTACAAGACAACACCATGAGGGAGAGACAGGTCAAGCCTGGCTTTTTCAGGAGGCTCAGCAATCCCAGAACAGGGCAGGACAAGCAAGAACAGAGCCAGGGCAGCTGTGGGGCAGGGCAGCAGGAGGTGGAGCAGTCTCTCATGGTGCCTCTGCCCTGGGTTTCATTTCCAATTAAGTTTTTCATCTGGTAACATTCAGAGTTTTGATGGGAGATGAGGCTGCTTTTGCCTAAGAGAGAACATACTTTCACTGCTGCGCCTGGCCCAGGAATGAATTCTCCACTATTAAAATGTAATTTAATTTATCTCCATGGGTTTTGTGATGACTGGGATTTGTTCTAAGGAGACCTTTAAAGGAGAATTTTTGCATTATTGAATGTATGTGCTAGGAAGTCGAGTTCTGGCATCCTCTGATAACCAAATTTCTTTTCTATCCTCCACTATATCAATCATGATAAAAGCCCCTGCCAAAGCCCTAACTCAAGCCATGCTTCTGGCATATCGTGAAACAAATCAGCAGGGGAAAAAAGCAAAACCCACAAGATGCTCTGGTCCAGTATTTTTTAATGTAAGATTCAAGGATATTGATGCTTTACCTCATCAGATAAATATTTGTAACACAGTTGCTTTCCCAGGGTTAAACCAGGATCAAATGCTGCTGAAACTGCGGCTCATTTGCTCTGACAGATCCTGAGTAGCTTAAAAATGAGTTTTGGTGAGATGTGAGGCCTTGCACATGCCAAGCAATGGCACTGGTGCCTTCCCTGATGGAAACTCAGCTCCCAGAGTGTCCCAGGGTCCCCTAAACACAGAAAACCCCAATGGGCTGTGGGGAGCTCTGAGCATGGGTGCAGAGGGACCCTTGGCGTAGGAGAGAGGGGTGGGATGGTGGGGATGGAGGGAGACCAGGGATTTCTGCAGCCAGGGCTGGGAACTTGTGGTTTATTGCAAAGGGCCTGGGTGCAGGGCCCTGCTGGGAGCTGCCAAACACAGCTCAGAGCAGGACAGAGAGAAGAGAGGGGGAGAGAGGATGAAAGAGAGAGTAAGAGAGCAAGGTTCCCATTACAATACCATGAATCTTCTTCTGTGCTGAATATTCTCATTCTCACTAACCAATCTAGTACAAGATACAAATCCTACAGCATTTCCATACAGCCTAGAAGAATCATTACATTCCCACACTGGGTTACATTTTAAACCCTAAAAACTCCTCTTTGGGCCCCTTCTGCCAAGCTGGCAGGGTCTGCTCTGAGCCTTGGGCCTGTCTGCAAGCAGAGGGCATTGTTTGATCCAAAGGGGATCACCTTCAGCTGGCCATGCCATTGTTTTCCAGTTGTTCAGTAACTGAGGGATCTCAAAGCTTGCTTTCATTTCAATCTTGCTTATAGTTTCTATATTTTCAAAATCTTTTGCCAGGCAATCATATTTATAAGGCTTTCCTGTTTCATCTTCCCCAACACCTTGGCCCTTTGCCTCTTTGTGATGGGCATGTCCAGGGATGTCTGATGCACACTCAAGTCCTCAAACACAGAACCTCACTGGGTTCTGGGGAGCTCTGTGCGTGGAGTGATGGGCAAGGGACCCTTGGCCCTTTGCCTGTTTGTGATATCTCCTGCATACAAAGAGGATTCTTTTTCAGAATCTCTATTTTATCACTTCCCTGACCCATTAGCTTGCTCAGCGCATCAACAACAGCTCAGCTCCAGGGCTGGCATCCCCTGAAGACCCCTGTGGCACTCAGGGGAGCCAGGCCGAGCTCAGCACCAGGGCTGGCATCCCTGCCAGGACCTGTGGCCACCTGGCGTGCCCGGCTGGCCGAGCACAAGGTGCCTGTGTGGTCCCGGCTCTGTTTTGCGTTTAAGTCCAAACCTGCGAGCTGCCGGCTGCAGGCTCTCGCTGCTGCAGCAGGCTGGGGTGGGAGAAGGGACAGAGCTGCCAGCTGCAGCTGCTCCCCGCTCCAGGAGCTGATGGGGGATTAGCCCACAGCGTGTCTTTACAAATTGTCAGCTCCCAGAGTACACAAAGCAAAGCGCTGAGCACTGAGTGCCTCAGCACAGAGGCAGAGGCAGAGATTTCGGGAACCTGATAGCGCTTTCCAGCCAGACACAGAGAGTGTGGACCCGGCCTCCTGCAGCCCTGCAGAGCACAGCCTTGGCAAGCTCAGCTTTGGGGCTGGTGGCTCCTGCCTGCAGCCCTGCAGAGCCCAGCCCATCCCACAGCATCCCAGCCTTAGCAAGCTCAGCTTTGGGGCTACTCCTGCCTGCAGCCCCACCAAGCTCAGTTTATCCCACAGCAGCTCGACCTTAGCAAGCTCAGCTTTGGGGCTGTGGTTCCTGCCTGCAGCCCCAAAGCTGCAGTTTATTCCACTGCAGCTTATTCCACTGCAGTTTATTCCACTGCAGCTCAGTCTTAGCAAGCTCAGCTTTGGGGCTACTCTTTCCTGCAGCCCTGCAGAACCCAGCATTGGTAAGCTGGGATTTGGGGCTGGTGGCTCCTATCTACAGCCCTGCAGAGCCCAGCCTATCTCACAGCAGCTCAGCCTTGCCAAGCTCAGCTTTGGGGCTACTCCTGCCCGCAGCCCCACCAAGCCCAGTTTATTCCACAGCAGCCCAGCCTTGCCAAGCTCAGCTTTGGGGCTGCTCCTGCGTGCGGCCCTGCAGAGCCTGTCCCTCTCCAGGCTGGATCCCCACAAAGCAGAGAGGGTTTGTAGCCACCAGAGCTCCCTCCTGGGATGTGCTGGGACACACAAAGCCGTTCCCTGCTCTGCAGTGCCCATGCCAAGGGCTGGGGCCTCCCCTCTGGCTGCCCTGCCACGCACGGTGGCAGAGCTGGGAGCTCTCGCTACTCGTTCCACGGGAACTTCCGACATCTCAAAATTTTTGTTTTCATTCTGGCTTGGAATGAGGACAAATATTTCAGAAATTTCCTGGATAACATAAAGTTTAAAATATCCTCCGCACTAAAATAGAAGTGTTGGGCTATCTCAGCTCTTGCATTATGTCATATCATACCAGCTCGCAGTAAACTGTGCAGAGTCACAGATGACTTCTCACGAGGAGACATAAACAAAAATACAAATAATGTCAGCAGGGAGGAAAAATGAAACGCTGAAATGACAAATTCTCTAAAACTACTTTTTCTCCCCTTGTACAAATTAATTCTCCGTGGGAAATCGCTTGGAATTTTTTTAAAAAAGAGCACGGTCTGGCCAAAGCAGCTCCGCTGTTCTCCGGAGCAGGAGGAACGCGGTGCCGGCGCTCCCCTCCAGCCCGTCCAGCCGCAGTCCCGCGGTTCCTTCAGCCGGGCTGCTCCGGGATGTCCCTGCCCCCGGCTCCCCGGCCGTGCTGGACCCTTTATCATGTTCCTCGCTAACCCAGGGCAGGCGAGCCCGGCGCTGCCCGGGGCCCGGCTGTCAAAGCACCGTTAGCCCCGGGATGGATCTCACCGGGGACAGATAACGCCGGGGGCACAGATAACACCGGGATAGATCGCACCGGGAGCACAGATATCCCGGGATGATCGCACCGGGAGCACGGGTAACCCCGGGATGATCGCACCGAGAGCACAGCAAATAGATCGCACCGGGGGCACAGATAACGCCGGTATAGATCGTACCGGGGAGCACCGATAACACCGGGATGATCCCACCGGGAGTGCAGATAACACCGGGATAGATCACACCGGGAGCACCGATAACTCTGGCATAGATCGCCCCGGGGAGCAGGGATAGATCGCACCGGGGGCACAGATAACACCGGCATGGATCGCACCGGGGAGCACAGCGGATAGATTCCACCGGGAGCACAGGGGATAAATCGCACCGGGGAGCACCGATAACACCGGGATAGATCGCACCGAGAACACCGATAACACCGGGGACAGATAACCCCGGCATAAAATCGCACCGGGGATAGATAACACCGGCATGGATCGGCACAGATAATACCGGGATGATCGCACCGGGAGCACCGCTAACCCCGGCATAGATCGCACCGGGGACACAGATAACACCGGCATAGATCGCACCGGGGACACAGATAATCCCGGCATGGATCGGCACAGATAACCCGGGGATGATCGCACCGGTAGCACCGATAACCCCGGCATAGATCGCACCGGGAGCACAGATAACACCGGCATAGATCGCACCGGGGACACAGATAATCCCGGCATGGATCGGCACAGATAACCCGGGGATGATCGCACCGGTAGCACCGATAACCCCGGTATCATCGCACCGGGGAGCACAGATAACCCTGGCATGGATCGGCACCGATAACCCCGGGATGACCGCACCGGGGACACAGATAATCCTGGCACGGATCGGCACCGATAACACCGGCACCATCGCACCGGGGAGCACCGATAACCCCGGGATGACCGCACCGGGGACACAGATAATCCCGGCACGGATCGGCACCGATAACACCGGCACCATCGCACCGGGGAGCACCGATAACCCCGGGATGACCGCACCGGGGACACAGATAATCCCGGCACGGATCGGCACCGATAACACCGGTACCATCGCACCGTGGGCGCGGGCCGAGCGGCTCCGCGGCAGCCCAGGGCGGGTTCGGCGCTGCCGCCCTGCCCGGTGCCGCGGCACGGCGCTTACCTGGCTCAGCTCCGCTCGGCCGGGGCTGCCTCCTGCCCTCCCTGCGCCCCGCTCATGGCCCGCCCGGGCTCCGCTCAGCGCCCCGAGCCGCCGGGGCTCCGCGGCGGGCAGAGCTGCGGGCGCCGGCGGGCTGCCATCCCCCTGCCTGCCCCGTGCCTCTCCAGAAAGGCACTGCTGGGAAGGAGTGCCGGGGCTCATGTCTCCGGTGCTGTATCCACCCCTTCCCACCCTCTTGGGGTTCGCTCCTGCCAGTTCCACTTGTGGGCTGTCCTCACCACTTTGGGCCTTTCTACCGCTCCCCTTCTTGTGGCTCTGGATGTCACCACAGACACGCTTTTATGAGAGTGGGCTTGTGCAAGGCTTGTATAAAGTGTTCTCAGAAATACGAGGTCCTGTCATTTGTAAAACTAATAAAAATGTCCAATAATTTTTACAAGGGAAAAATGAGTCATTGGAAGGCACATTTCTCATTACTGGCATTTTACAATTAAAATGAGCATCTATTGAATCAATCCAAAGCTCTTATTGTTAGCAGACACTAATAACTTCCTGAGCTATTGAAGATACTTTTTTTCTGAAGAAACATGACCCTTTGCCACGGCATTTCTCGTTGAGAGTGGTATCCAGCTGAGACCAGCTCTGCTCAGCTCCTGCTGGAGGCTTTTCAAACACATCCTGATGAGACTGGTGGCTATAACTGGGTGGGAAATTGTTTTTAAGCCCTCAAAAATGTTCGAGATTTCAAAATTTTTCCCGCTCCACATGGGGACGAAACCAGAATTGTTCAACATTTTTACAAAAAAAAAAAAAAAAAAAAAAGTCCTCATGGAAACATCTCCGGAATAGCCAATAGCCATGGGTCACACTGAGCCAGAGGAGCTCAGACTGCCACCATGGTGGCTGTCCTGGCATCAGCCAAATTTGCTCCCAGGGTGGGACACCCATCGTGGACTTCCTGACCTTTTCTAGTGAAAGATTAAATAATTTAAACTTTCCTGGTTTCTCTACAGCTGCTGTGTGTGCCTGGCAGAACCAGCCAGGCCAGCAGAGTGGAGGCATCACCACCTCCTGCCTTTGGAAGACCAAGGATTTTGCAGCTGCTTGTGCTTTGAGGACATTATATACAGTCAGAGCCTAATTTTCAACAGGCACCAAGCCCATCTGCTGCTGCTTTCTGAAGGCCAGCCTCCCTCCAGATGTCTTGGGATGGATCCTGGTCACCGTAGCCACCACCTGCCTTTTGGAAATGGGCACCCTGATGGAACAGAAGGTGTGGTCTGAGGAGGATTCAATGAGAAGAAGTCCCACAGAAGCACAGGGAGACTCTGAGTGCCTTCCTTGTCCATGGGGACTCATTTCAGCCTCGGGAGATGAGACCAAGGAGAGCCAGCCTGACTGCAGGACTTGTTTCTCAACGTTACTCCAGATGACAAAAAGAGATCAAAATGCAAAACCCATTTTTTCCTTCAGCTGATGTGTCCAGGGAAATCTCCCAGTGCAGGATTTAGCAGAGGAGCTCCAGGTTGCTGTCTGGCTCTTTTTCTGTGCACAGCCACCTGTACATCCTCAAGGCAGAGTGGGAAGGCCTTCCCCTGCCATGATGCCAGAGCAGAGAAGCCAAATTGTGCCATGTGCTCAGTGAATACAGAGAGTTTCTGAGTGTGAATCTTTCCTCTCAAGCCCCAGCGGGCCCCAGGCAGCCAGGCTGCTGTCACTTGTGGGGAGCTTCAGTTCCTATTTGTACTATCAAACACGTGCAAAGCTTGTGAAAAACTGCCATGAAATCCCAGTGCACAGCAGGAACAATCCTGGCTCCTAAACACTGAGTGCCCTGCCAAAGGGCTGGCAAATGCAGATCCTGCTGGGAGGAGGCATCCAGATGCCACATCTGCCACCACAGCTCCTCTTAGTGCAGATCTGCAGGAGAGCAGCCCCAGCCTCCCCAGAAGCCAGTTCTTTTCCAGAAATAAACACCTGCAGCACTCAGAGACATCCATCACGGAGGTTTCACTCTGTCTTGGGTGGAAGAGTCCTTATCTGCATGGAGTTTGGTTTTTTCTGGCTGAGCAGTCCAAAGTGGGCACAACAGAAGGATGCCAGGCTCTGCTCCCTGGGCACCACGCTCAGGGCTCTCCTGTCCCCATGGCTCTCTGGAAGGGATGGCTCTGTCCCCTGGGAAAGCTCCCTGGGAGTGGGGATGCTGATGTTGGGGAGAAGCAGATGAGTTTGTTTTCCATTCTCTGCTGTTGTGCAATGGCCCCAGCTCTGGAGACACTTCCCACTCCTTTTCCTTTGCTACTGAGCATGGGGGTTGAACCACAATGTGTATTGTCATTTATAAGCTCTGTAGGACCCTCCTGGGACCCACGTACATAAATCATGGGTTTGCTTGAGCATTCCTTTTTTTCCTCTTGCATCCTTGCAACACAGCTTCTGCCTGTCCTGCCTGTCTGCAAGCCCGAGCCTTTTGCAGGATTTGGAGCCCTGTTCCCCAGAAGGTCTGTGCTCTGTGCTGCTGCCATGCTCATATGCTCCTGCTCCAAAGGGAGAGCCTTGGGAGCGAGCTGCTAATGCTCCTTCCTGCTGAGGCTGCCAGGTGCCTGAGCACAGCACACACAGCGGGCACAGCCGACAAAAACGCCGGGAAATTCCCTTTATGGCTCTGTGTTTCCTGCTACATTTTTATGGGATTTCCCCAGCACCCAAGAGCTGGCAAAACCTGCTGCCAGGAGGGGACAGGGCACCAGGAGGGGACAGGGCACCAGGAGGGGACAGGTACCAGGAGGGGACAGGGCAGCAGGAGGGGACAGGACAGCAGGAGGGGACAGGACACCAGGAGGGGACAGGACAGCAGGAGGGGACAGGGTAACACGAGGGGACAGGGCACCAGGAGGGGACAGGACAGCAGGAGGGGACAGGGTAACACGAGGGGACAGGGCACCAGGAGGGGACAGGACAGCAGGAGGGGACAGGGTAACACGAGGGGACAGGGCACCAGGAGGGGACAGGACAGCAGGAGGGGACAGGTACCAGGAGGGGACAGGGCACCAGGAGGGGACAGGGCACCAGGAGGGGACAGGACAGCAGGAGGGGACAGGGTAACACGAGGGGACAGGGCACCAGGAGGGGACAGGACAGCAGGAGGGGACAGGTACCAGGAGGGGACAGGACACCAGGAGGGGACAGGACAGCAGGAGGGGACAGGGTAACACGAGGGGACAGGGCACCAGGAGGGTGTCATCATAGAGCACCACACAGCACAAAGCACCACGACTCCATCAGAAAGGTGCAAGAGAGATTTATTACAGCAGCATTTTACTTTTATACATTTTCCAGATATTTCCATTCCCTTCACATACACATTGGTTATAGGAAAGGAACAAAGTTCTCAGTGGGTGATCAAGGAGCCAGTGGGTGATCAAGGAGTCATTTTGTGAGCCTTTCTTGAGTCTGTATCTCTCACCTTTCTCTCCTTCATCACGTCCCCATGGTGACAACCTCGGTGTCTCCCTCAGGAGAGATAAGGGACTTTCCTTATCATCAGGAAGCTTTGCTGGCTCACAAGAACAGCACAGAATGGCTTTCCTACAGGAGGGGACAGGGCTGGAGGTGCCACCAGCCTGGCCAGGTTCCCCTGCAGGGACAGTGCCAGGTGCCACCACAGGGACTGTGCCAGGTGCCATTGCAGCGACAGTGCCAGGTGCAGGGACAGTGCCAGGTGCCACCTCAGAGACAGTGCCAGGTGCCACCTCGGGGACAGTGCCAGCTGGCACTGCAGGACACTGCCAGGTGTGGGGACAGTGCCAGGTGCCACCACAGAGACAGTGCCAGGTGCCACCATAGGGGCAGCTCACAGGTGCCACCACAGGGACAGTGCCAGGTGCCACCTCAGGGGCAGCTCACAGGTGCCACCATAGAGACAGTCCCAGTGCCACAGCAGGGACAGTTCCAGGTGCCACCGCAGGGACAGTGCCACTGCAGGGACAACTCACAGGTGCCACCGCAAGGACAGTGCCACTGCAGGGACAACTCACAGGTGCCACCGCAAGGACAGTGCCAACTGCTAACATAGGGACATCCCAGGTGCCACCACAGGGACAGTTCACAGGTGTCACCACAGGGACAGACCCAGGTGCCACCTCGGGGACAATCCCAGGTGCCACCTCGGGGACAATGCCAGGTGCCACGGCAGGGACAATGCCAGGTACTGGGACAGTGCCAGGTGCCACTGCAGGGACAGTGCCAGGTGTCACCGCAGGCTGTCGGGCCCCGGGGCTGCCGTGTGCCCTGCCGGCAGTGAATTTGGGACATCGGCTGATGTCGCCGGATTTCCTGCCCCCGCCGGGAGCGCACAATAGGGGCACAGGCTGCTCCGCAGACACCCTAATCCCCCGCGATTGTGCCGCCTCTCGGGGGGTGACAATGGCTCAATGGACGTTTGCAAGGTTAGCAGGAACGTTAATCCTTACAGAAGAAAAATGTGACAATTACTTCATGCCGCGGCTGGGAGCTTTTGTGCAGCCCTTTCTGGGCAGTGTCCCATGGACAGGCGCTGCTTGCCCGGGTACCTGCGACAAGAGGGGACATCAGCCTGTGCTGCCGTGCCTGGAATTCCCTTGGAATTGTCCCTTGGAATTCCCATTCGAGCCAGGGAGTTTCTGCCACCGCCCAGTGAAAGCACAAACGCGTCCATGGTCACGGCACAGGCGGCTCTGGGGAGCAACAGAGCTTTTTGTTGTCTCAGCTTTAATTCCCAGAAAATCGGGTGTCTCTTACAATTCAGAAATGCTGCAGGAGAAATGCAGCTGGGGAAGGAGAACGTGGAGAGGGCACACGCCTGCCATGCTCCGAGCAGGGCCCAGAGGAGGGGCAGGAGGGGGAGATGGGGGGCTTGGAGGGGCTGGGGAAGAGGGAACAGCGGAATTTTGGTGACTGGACAGGGTTGGTGATGGCACCATCCTGGAGGGAGAGCAGGGGGCTTGGAGGGGCTGGGGAAGATGGAACAGCGGAGTTTTGGTGACTTGGGACAGTGATACCAAAGGTTGGTGAGGCACCATCCGGGAGGAGGGCAGAGGGGCTTGGAGGGGCTGGGGAAGAGGCAACAGCAGAATATTGGTGATTGGACAGGGTTGGTGATGGCACCATCCAGGAGGGAGAGATGGGGGGCTCAGAGGGGCTGGGGAAGATGGAACAGCGGA